CAGGAGCTTGTGACTCCCTCCGGATTCAAAAAGACAGCCGCGTCCTCAGGTGCCAGACCCTTTCCGCGTGTGCGAGCCCCCTACCTCTGCACTTTACTTCCGCAGCTTCTCTGGCTCTCAGTGTGCTTTTCTTTCCTTCTAGTTGTAGAATTTACACTCAGCCAGCCTTCCTGTGGTTCTGGATGGTGTTTATCTATGCCGCCATCTTAGCTTTTCCGAGACTTTTTATATTAGCTATTCCAAACAAGCGCAGGAAGTGACACCTGACCCAAGTGCTGATGAATATAAGTGAATGGAATAACATTTCCAAAAGGAAATTCTTTTTCATGAGAAAGGAAAAAAGGAAGGTACAGTAATCTGCAGGATATTTTTATTTTGTCTCAGTGACACCAGTTGGCCTACAGCAGCCTTTCTCCATTCAGAGGAGGGGAGTGGTGGGAAGTGTTAAGATGGAAAGAGCAAAAGTTAAATTATTTGCTCTTGAACAAATAATTTCATGGTTTCCACTTGCTTCTTCTGCAACTCTCAGGAAGCTCCATCAGTTTTCAAGATCTGGAAAATGGGAGTGATAATTCCTACCGGAGGGAGGTATGGAAAGTAATAGCAATCTGTAACCTTATAAAACTCACTGTGTGCCAGTGACTATGCTAAATGCTTTCTCTCATTGGATCCTCATAGCAACGTGAGGTGGCCACCATGTATGAATGAGGAAGCCAGGGCTTAGAGGATTGATTGCATGGGACTTGTCTAAGGCCCCAGCTAGGAAGTAGAGGAACTGGGATTCAAACCAAAGCACTTTGATTTCATGATCACGTTGCTGCCTAGCTTTATCAATTCAAAGTACTAATTATCATTTTTAGTTACTAAGAGGTTGTTACTGGTAGGTAGGCGAACTTGGAGCCAGAGGGAATCCTGGGGTTCATAGAGAATACGTTTCTAATAGCCGGAGCTGTCCACAGAGAGAACAGACCATCTAATCCCCCATCACTGTTGCAGGAAGAGGTTGGGTAACCATTTTGATAAAGGGGTGATCACTTGGAGAGGGTGATGAGCTTTATTCCTTTAAGGTCTATTCCAATCTTGCAATTTTATGACTCCTTGTCCCTTGATGTCTCAATAATCTATCTCTGGAACCTAATGCTTGTTTATTTTCCTAGGTAACCTCTAGTCCAGTGGTTCTCAACCTTCCTAATGCTGTGACCCTTTAATACAGTTCCTCATGTTGTGGTGACCCCCAACCATAAAATTATTTTCATTGCTACTTCATAACTGTAATGTTGCTACTGTTATGAATCGTAATGTAAATATCTAATATGCAGGATATATTTTCATTGTTACAAATTGAACATAATTAAAGCATAGTGATTAATCACAAAAACAATATGTAATTATATGTGTTTTCCGATGGTGTTAGGCGACCCCTGTGAAAGGGTTGTTCAATCCCCAAAGGGGTCGCGACCCACAGGTTGAGAACCGCTGCTCTATTCCTTTCTCTGGTCTTTCTTCCACATCCTTTTTTTATTCTCCCTTGATCCTATAGCACGAACAGCATGGAAAGAACCTAGTAGGCTTTGAAATAGAAGGCCTGGGTGTCAATGTCCAATCTCCCATTTAATTGCTAATTGATACATGGACACCAGGCAAGTTACTAAGACTTCCTCTCAGTGAGGCTCTCTAAAATAAAGGAAGTAACATCAAATGAGAAAAAAACAGATTCAAGTATAGTGCCTTCTCTATAGAAGCTCAGGAAATATAAGTCTTCTTCATGTGCAATGCTCTCTCAACCCCACCTGCTACCCAGTCATACTCTCCCTATCAGCTTTAGTCCCGGTGTGCCTGTAGAGATGGCAGGCACACAAAAAGCAAGCAGTCACAAAATACCTATGCATTTTACCTACCACATAGTTAAAAGCAGAAGGAAAGTGTCCTGCATGCTGGCTCATTGTGGGCTCTGCACTACAAGGACCAGAATCTCTACCAAATTCTGTGCCCCTTCTTTGGCATTCTAAATCCCAACTGCACCCATGGCTGTATTAATCCCATATATTCCCCCTCGTCAGAACCACCAGGAATAACAAGCTCTGAGTGCACAGAACTTTCCAGCTCCCCCAGCTCCAACCTCTCATTGATAAATCATACAACAATCTTGCAGAGAGACTTACAAAGGCACTTGGCATTATCTGAAGTTATCTGAATCTTAGATCCAGTGGGCCAACTCTCTTAGCCAATTTCTGGTTTTTATAGTTTAAAAACTGTGCAGTGCTAGATGAATACCACCAGAAGAAAGCAATATATCAAGATGGGAACTAACTTAATTGGAAAAGGGAATAATTAAAAACACAGTAAGAGGCAGAAACATAATGAGGTTAGATAGCTGAGAACATTCCCCAGGAGATCAAATCGCCCAGCCTTGCTGGAAGGCCACCATGGACACCTGGCTGTCCTGTCCCTAGAATCTCTTCTCTATAATCTTAAAATCATTAACTGTCCTTGCCTATTGCTGCCTGAATGTTTAAAGTCCCAGACAGGAATCTCTGGGAGTCTCCTAGTGCACATACCACAACCATCACTCTCGCTGCTTGGAGCGGGGAGAAGGACGAACTGCCCTTCCTCAAAAAGGGTGAGCAAGCTGCAGGGCAGCCCAAACAGCAGCAAATATCCAGTCACTGGGTCTTCATCAGGACCCCGTGAGAATGAGTCTACTGTGCGTCCCCACTCCTTTTTTTGACAAAAGATACTGACTTGCTCAGGTTCATTAAGTTGGTCAAGTGCCAGCATGAAAATTTATCCAAAACTCCTGGTTCTCAACTTTCAGTAACAATCTGTTTATCATAGGCACAGACAACAATGCAGTGGTTACGAGGGAAAGGGGGATAGGGGTGAGGTAGAAAAGGGTAAAGGGGTTCAAATGTAAGGAGAGGTGACTTTGGATGGTGAACATACATTGCAGTCTGCAGATGATATATTTATAATATTGTACACTTGAAATCTATAAAACTAATATCACCCCAATAAATTTAACAAAGTTTTAAAAATATGTTAAAAAGCAGCGTTTACAGGCACCCTAATTCGCCCTAAATGTAGGTTGTTGTTGTTGTTTTTAATGGAAGTTCTAATCACTCTTCACTATTTGGTTATAAATATGACTTGTGTGTATGTGGAGCATAAACACTACCCAGGTTGTCAGTCTTTCAGCAACCTTTTAAAAATACATTTTTCTGCCTGGCTGGCTTGGTTGAGTGTCATGGTTCCATTCCCAGTCAGGGCACATGCCCAGGTTTTGGGGCTTGATCCCCAGTGGGGGTGGGGGGCAGGGTGCAGGAAGCAGCTGATTGATGATTTTCCCCTCATCATTGATGTTTCTATCTCTCCCTCTCATTTCCTCTCTGAAATCAATAAAAATATATTGAAAGAAATACATTTTTCTGAAACCCATCATTTCTTCATAATCCTGAGCTTAAAAAAACCTTAACAGTAGTTGTGTAACACAAATATATATCAAGAGTCTTTGTTTGAGAATCATTTGTTTCTACTCTGTCTTAGATTAATCTTTTCCTATTATGAATAAAGTGGGAGCAGATGCAAATGTCACTGGTTTTAAAAAAGGTGCATATATTAGGTTTCAGAAAAAAGATGTTTTCCTAAAATCCACCTGATAGCTTTAACTTTACATTTATACATATATAATGTTGTAGTCTTTTCTGCTTCCCTTAGAGATTTAACAAAACTTCCCCCCTTTAAAAAGCCCCCTAGGGCCAATTTCATGCTCAAAGAAAAACAAAGCCTTATAAAACAACTCCATAACTTCAGTGTTTTATCCTAAGACCCTTTTCCTTCCTACCCATTTCTTTAAGCCAAGAAAGACAAATGAACTAAGCTGTACATCTTTAGTTGATTCCAATCTACCTTTTTAATAGCAAGTGGCTGATGCCAAAGAAAGGATTAAAGACGGTGTTCTTTCAACAATTCCTCATTATGGCCTGGGATTTGCTGTGCAATTAGTCTCTCCTGGACAGAGCCGAGGCCAAGTGAACTTGTTATTACCCTGTCTGGAGATCTCTAAAAAATGAAAACTCCACACTTGCAAAGGGGCGGGTACCACAAGCATAAAGGTGTCATGGTGGAAGACGTCATAGGCCTTTGCTAAAGGCAGTTCAAAGAGGGGATGAGCCTCAACCCTCAGAAATAAAAGCAGGGACCATTTTTTCATATGGTTAGGAACGAGGCAGCACAGAAAAGGAGTATGAACTTAAGTACATTTTGAGTCCTGTGTAAGTCTCAGTGTAAACTTTCGATGCTGCCCTACTACGTTCTCTCTTATAATTAGCAATAAAGGCCTTAAAAGGCGGGGGCAGGGAGGGGGATCTCTTTCCTTTGTGCTTGACTTCCAGGCAGCAAAGATGTGGGGAGCAGTTGGCCAATCATGGGCGGGAGTGAGGGGATGGCAGGGGACAGACACACGAGGAAAGGTAAGTGGCTGGGAACCCGGGGCCTTTTTTAAGCTTAAAAGTAAGAACCAGGGAGGCAACTTATCCAGGTTAGAGAACTTGTCTAGATCTTAACATTAAAAAAAAAAAAAGGTTTGTGGAGGTTTACCAGTGTCAGACCTGGGGTTGTCAGGTCGGAACACTGAGTGTGGTTCTCTAAACAAGTCACACTTTTGTTTTGAACAATCAGCGAGGGAAGCAGCGTACAACCTGTAGGCTTGGTAGGAACCCATCTGTGTGAGCGAGTAGCAAGCATTGAATGTCAATCACTGAAACAAGTTTTCTAGAAGGGTCCCAACTGGAATATGTTCTTTTCCTAGCAGGTCCATGACATGGAAGACAGGCGCTACCATCCTCCTCATTTTACACAGAAAGACACGGACGCTGCACGTGCTCTCAAGTCCTCAAGCCTAAATCCAGCACTTTCTTCTCCAGGAAGCTCACGGCATTTGTGTTGTGCTTCTCACTGAATACCTGAATGCTCCTATCTATATGCATCCTGATGCAATTCCTACCAAAATGTGTCAGGAAGGAGACGGGGTATATCATTTTCCTCGTTAAAAAGAAATGGAGGCCCCAACTTTAAATCACTTGGCCAGGCATATACTAGGGCACTCTTCAAGGCATGCTCTTCCCTTTAACTATCACATTTTTGACATATCAAAAAGAAGTTATTTTCTCTCTCTGCTATTTCCCATGGAGTCAAGTTCCCGGCTCGCTCCCCGCTTCTGAAGGCACATCCTTGTCTTATTTCTGGCTCATCTCCCTAATTCAACCTGAGTTTCCACATTCCCTGTCTCCTGGGCTGTCAGCAGATTCTTCCTCCAATTCCCCCATTCCCCTGCCCCATCTCTTCCCCAGAGGCCTTCAAGCCTTTGCTTTCCATGTCTGCGCATGATGTTCGTTTTCAACCTCAGAGAAGAAAAGAACAGCAACAAAACTAAAGCCATCCCCTTTCATCTCAACCTTAACCTGGCAGCCCATTAGTGTGATTTGATCAGCATGTGCTGTACGCAGTCTCAAACTCAGAAGCAAAAATGAGAGGACAGTGCTTGAGTCGAGGAACACATAATCCAGTGTGGCAGGCAGAGTGCATACAACCAACTAATGCAAGACTCTGGTAAGTGGTGACAGGAGCTGTTTCTGGTTGGAGAAATTTAGAGAAGGCTCTGACCCTAAAAATCTGTTCCTGTCCGATCTTAGCACATCAGGAACAACCTTCAGAGCAGGTTGCATGAAGTCATCCTAATTTACAAGTAATGATCTTCCAACAACACCTTTCTGCCTAGGCCCCCAAAGTACCCACATATCACAAGAGCAGATGGTAGAGTTATTATTCACCCCATTTTATAGATGAGTCAGTTGAAATCCTTGCCTAACAAATGGCCCTAAAAGAACTGAAAAGCAAACTCAGCTCCTATCTAGCGATGTTTTTTCAACCACTTTGGAACTATAACTTTTTTAACTGCTCCAAGGAAACATGCTCTCATAGGGGGAAGTTGGTCCCATAAAGAGCAGGCAATTTGAAGTATTTATTCAGGAAAATTCCAACCAAAATACTAAAGAGTTTTATCTCCATTTGAAAACGTTTTCTGGGTACCCTCTGAGCTTCTTCTATAAACCAGGCACAGTGTGTACCATCACTCTCCTCCAAGTAGGAAAAAACAACTCCTCCCACTATACCCATTTATATTCTGCCGGTTTTGACTTGGCGGTGGCTCTGCAGTTGTTAGGACAAGGCCCTGAGTAAAGTCAATTCATCTTTGCCCCTCCCTATCCTCCTCTCTACTCACCATAACAACCCCACCTACACCTCCCTGGTGGCTGGGAAGCTTAAGCAAATGAATACACATCAACTGTTTAGAACCCTGCCTGACACATCATAGGCACTCAATACATTGCACCACTTCACTAGTCTTGCTTGGTGCCTGGGTTTAAAGGCTGGCTCTTGCATTTGTTAACTGTAATTACAGGGTCAATCTTTTATCTACCTGGTAGCAAAGTGGTGAGGATTACATAAGATAATGCAGGTAAGAGTATTTAGCACTTAGTAAGTGCTCAATAAATGATAGTTACATTACGTGTCTGCATTTATGAGGAGCTTTGGCCTCTGTAATGTAATTTTTTTATTTTTTTTTCATTCCTACAGCCCAGCACAACATCCAGCACAGCGCTAAGTACTTAAGCGCTGTAAATGAATGAGTGGCGGGCAGGCAGCCTGGTTCAGGCAGGTGAGGCCGATCACTGGCTCCTTCTCGGCCTTGTTCGTCTGCCACCCACCCCCTGGCACTCCATAGGAGCAAAGGAAATAATGACAAACCAGCGAAGGGCCGCAATTACCCCGCGGTGCCTTAATTCACCGTGGTGTTTTCCATGGGAAGTCCCCTCCTATTTAAAAAAGCGCGTCTTTTTGTTTGCGTTTGTTTGTTTAATACCACCTCAGTACCTTTGGTGTAAAAAAAGAAAATCAAAACATAAACATAGCCCAAAGTGGGTACGAGTGGCAGGGGCTAGAGTAGCAGACGCGGAGGTGCCGCCCGGGGAGCAGCCCCGGGGTAGGCTGGCAAAGTTTAGTGGGATCTTCAGGAGGAGGAGAAGGGCCAGCGAGGTAGTGGCGTGGAAGACAAAGGACAGAGAGCGCGGAGCGGAGAAAGGAGTAGGACGCGGGGGCGCAGGGGCACCGGGCGGAGGAGCCGCACAAAGCCCCTGGGAGGGAACAAAGGGCTG